TCCGAGAAAGGTTCTAAAACCTCGCGCCTTGTTTTCGACCACGTTTTGTGCTCATTTTCATCGATTCTTGGTGCTTGTTCTAAATCATGCGCATCCACGATGTTTAAAACGAACCACGATCCCACCACCACGAACAAGATGAACAATATTTCAATTTTATTCGAGTGATGAACGTGATTTAGAGATCTGTCAAGAGGGGCCATTTTTGAAGCTGGACTTGAAAGTTTCGAGCGCATACATTTACTAAGAACAGGAAGCGTAATACTGGCGTATAGTGTAGGGAGAATCACAATATGAGTTATGGGGCCTCAAGTCCCACACTTAGAAATGACTAGTTACGATAAGAGACTTCAGAAACGACTTACTGATAAGAAATACGATATGCCACTTATAGAGAGTATATACTCGGAGCATCACCTGGCTAATAAAATCATGATACATGTTTTCCCTTTTCTGAAAAGAAAGAAAATATAATCGTGAGTGAGCACCAGCAAGCCTAAGCCCTCATGCAATGCAAGTGAATCTCTACCACCATTTCCAGTTTAAAAAAATCCGAAGTGCAGATCACTGCATGAACTTCGGATACTCATAATAACTTCTCTGCGTCAGACCTAACTTAAGAAATGGTCACCTAAGTACACGTAGTGGCCTATGTACACGTAGCAGCCTAAGTACACGTAGCAGCCGACTTCTAGTCCAAGATAGGAAGGTCTAGCTTGAAAAGCTGCCCCTGATATGCTGAAAGAATTCATAACTCAACTATTTTTGATAGTATGTCCCCTGGTTAATAACGAATGGTAAGTAAAAGAAATTGTTATTGTATCTCATTCTACCCTACAACAAAATATTCACACGACATAATGACATAAAATTGGACGGCGACGGAAGGGTTAGAACGGCGCCCTTCACTCAGAAGAAGGGCACCATACAGAGCCCACCACCCTCTTATCTTCACCTCACATCCTTCACTGCACACGGCGCCCTTCACTCAGAAGAAGGGCACCATACAGAGCCCACCTCCCTCTTATCTTCACCTCACATCCTTCACTGCAGCCCCAGGATGGCGCGCCGGCTTATCAGGCGCTGCCTGCCTCAGCTTTCGTTGATTTCGTCTCCACTTCTCAGACGTTTGTGCGTTGATTTTTTCAAATCTTCAGTTGAGGTTGATAATTATTATTATTTTTTAATATTGGTTGAGACTGATATTTTTGTAATATGATCACGTCTCACGAAGACGAAGAAAAACATGCAATCATACATACAAACTTGTCACATACACGCAATTAGGACACAGTCACACGTTTGTGTCACATACACGCAATTAGGACACAGTCACACGTTTGTGTCATATACACGCGATTATGACACGGTCACACGTTTGTGTCACATACACGCGATTATGACACAGTCACACGTGTGTGTCACATACACGCAATTACTATGACACAGTCACACGTGTGTGTCACATACACGCGATTATGACACAGTCACACGTTTGTGTCACATACACGCGATTATGACACAGTCACACGTTTGTGTCACATACACGCGATTATGAAAATGATGAATCGTGAAAACATAGCAATTCCGTGAGAATGTTCAAGATCTCTTACAAAATCCGTGCAATGGCGGTTCGGTGTAATTCCGTGAGAATTTTGAAAAGCAGTACTCCTGATCATTACCTTAAATTTCCAATCGGGCTTTGGATCTCAATATTTTCCCACTAGATGGCCATGACCTAGTGTTTTTGCAGTATTTCGACACGTAAATGTATGACGTCACCATCAACAAACGCATGGAACTAAAACAAAGCTTAATATAAAGGAAAAACTAGAGAGGTGACGGAATTACCTACGATGTCGGAATATACCGCGTTTACCCTAAGAAGTTTTGTGTCATGCCTAGCCTAGTCAGTTGCCAATATCATATGCAATGCTTGAATGCATTGAACAAGTGGGCAGCGTGTGTTTGCTGTCAATGTGTTCATTTCTAATGGCAGTTTTGCAGAGTTGTCTCTGTCTGCTTCAAAATTTTTGCAGTGTCTCATCTACTGCTTCTACTCCAATAACTTCATGTCCATGAGTCCATGACCACGAGATACAAAATCAAGTGGGTAATACAAAAATTACAGTAATGTCTTTTTCAAATTTCTAATAAAATTTATACTCTAATGATATCTTTACTACCTAGTTCTTTTTATTATGAGCTTTCAAGTCAGAAAGATTTTGTGAATCATCCTGTATAAATTATCCTAATGAGTAACTATGATATACATAGGTATGGTGTCATAATGGTGGAGAATGGAGATGCAATATTTTAGTCAGAACTTTGCACTTTCAATCTTGTTCTTACATAAATTATTTGGCATTTGCTAGTGCTAACTGCTAGGCAAGTAAAAGGAATTCATTGAAAATTGAAATAAAATTAGAGAAATAAGCAGTTTATAATAGCAATAAATACTTTAACAGTAACACCACCCCTCTGCCTCTGGCACCTCAGTTAACTGTCTTACTCTGTCTAGTGACATGCTACATTCAGTCTTCAGACTGAATCAGACATACGAGACAAAGTGAACAAACTGTACAAACAGACAATAACTGACCAAATGATGCAGTGGCTACTGGCTATTTAGCATCTTTCGCCGGAGAATCAAGGTAATAATTAGTAATCTATTATTAAGGCAATCTATCAAACCTCACTTTCACTGTTTCACACTACAAACACCTTGCACGCACCCAGTCTCCCACTCGAATCTCGCAGACTCGCACAGAGACGAGAGTGACACTGTGACAGTACGACTGTGACAGAGATGAGAACAAAAGCATGAGTGAGGTCCTGGGAACTTGAGAATACGTAAGCTCAGCTCTCGACAAGGTCGTCCGCAAAACCATAGTTTAAAATTCAATCTTTCTTCAAATTTTTTTGTTGTACAGTTAAGGTTTATTTAGAATGTTATTTGTTGAGACTTGAGATGAATGTTATTCAATAAAATGCCCTCATCAGTAATATGATTAAGCCTCACTTTCATGAATCTGCCAATGAAAACAATCCATCTAGGGATAACTGTTTTTTTTTACCTTGATCTATTACCGATGATTTGTGCAAAGAATACATAATAATAAGTTTATTAGGCCGCAGTCTTGTCGCCGATTCTCAACATCACAGAACATTCACAGCATTTTGCGGTATCGAACACGCAACACACTGCTACAATTCTTCTTTGTTTTAACCGCCTGGCCTCCTCGCCGATTCTGATCAGAAACTGGCGCACAGAGCTGGGATCGAGCCCGCGCCTCTCTGCGCCAATCCTGGTACTCTGCTGAACTTTAACGACTGGGCCACCACTAGAGGAAGCACTGCATTATGATTAAAATCTCGAAATGAAGTTTAAGTAAGGACTGAAGAATTCACTTCGCCTAATTATGTTAGTTTGACATGAAATCATTCTCCTGAAGATAGTCTCAATGAAAAATCATTAGCCCAACCTTAAATATTAATTGTAAGTTAAACTACCTCAGCACAAACAGAAAAATTCTAATGATTTTCAAGTGTGAACACGATTCTGCTTCCTCCAGCCGACACCACAAAGACGATTACTCAAGAAAAACGGCGTTTGCCCAGTTGTGCCCATTGTTCTGAACAAATGACTCGATCACCGAATAGATTCATCACTGAATAAATTTTTCGCATTAGAACAATCTTAATTCAACATAAACTATAAGCATCACTTTATACGGAGATGGGAATCCATTCAATCATAGATGTATTTATTGAAATAACGGTTGCGTGTATCGGTATTTCGAGTACGCATTGAAACGGTGCGAATTAGAATGACGGTACCTAAGTGGGGAAACATTTTACCATGATAAAATTAGCTGTTGTCGCTCGTCATCTTCAAAACTCGAGTTACATGAATAATCCAAAATAGAATAAGCGGCTGTTTGTCGCTGTGAAGATAGAGAACAGCAGCTACTGCGTGAGGGAAAAGTGTCATCTCGTCGAGGTTCGTCCTCTTCTAAAAAGTTTGCGACATGATGAAAAAATGACGGACTACGGCTGACGGACTACATACATGACTCTTTAATTTTAAAAATAATAATAAGATAAATTCTGAGCTTCTTTTGTTATAAGCCGATTCATCTAATCTGTGCAAGGAGAATAAACAGCATTCAATATATAACGAGTTTATTGGCAAAAAATGAATAAAAAAAATTTCTGCCTGCTTAATCCTCAAGCAGACCCTGAAACTCATGCGCATCCATGTGAACATATTCAACTCGATAGGACATAACGGCTTACGTTCATGCCACTGATGTGCGGCAATGCTTCTGAAATGCTGCTCTGTATATAACGTCATATGTTCATGACACTGACACTGGGTAATGTTGTAGGGGATTACTCCTGATTACACACATATTTTTACTGTTTCAGTAGAACGTCAAAATTGGGATGATTAAAATAGACATTATAAATGATAACGAAATGTATTGGGCCTTTTATTCATATATAAAAACAAAAACTTTACACGATTCTCGTCCATAGTAAAATTAGTTAGAAACTGATAGAAGTTACAAAGTGCTGCGGATCACATTATTAGTACAGGCCGACCGCAAACCATTCATCAGCCAGCCTGAAAAAGCCAATTATTTAACATTTGTTTACATTAATTGCATTGCACCTTAGAATTCATAAGCAAATAAAATACCAAGCACTTTCGCCAAATCACCGTAGCTCAACATTCTCGATAAAGATGAGGTAAATTTACTTAGTTTTTTCTCTGTTTTAATTTGATTTTTAATTAATTGTTCACTTTTTCTCTAATGTCCGATCAGTGTGGATAAACTGCAAACTGCATCCAAACTGTGGATAAACTGTCCCCTAAGGCAATTAATCAATTTTCGAGGGAAATGGACTGGAAACATGAACAATCAACGTGCATTAATACTGACCATGTTTATAAAAACTATAGCACACTTTTTGAGGAACACGAAACTGGTGATAAAGATAAAACAGTTTAGGAACATCAGGGGTTTAACGATCGGCTAGGAGTTCCCTTGAAGCAGAAACTAGCTTCGACGAAAACTTAAAGCTAAGAAGCATCAACTGTCCGCGGATTTAGGAAAATCTCAAAATGTGCGGCGTCGCGGTTAGCTAGTTGAAAGTTAATCTTGATCTTAGGCAAGGATTTTTCTAGGAGCGACAAAATATAGCTTGAATCACTGCCAGTAAACCTGATGCTCTTAATTTGATCTTTACCCATAGCATTGGCCAATGCCACGCATGCCAGGTATGCCTCAATCGTGTAACTTCCAGCGGGACTGACGATATGCATCGTCTTTGGAAACGGCCATAGTTTGACGAGTTCATTAATACCTGCCTCAATGAAGCCAAAGTGAAGGTAGAGTTTCGGAATGCTGGGATTCTCAATAACTTCGAGGGCATCGTTAAGAGCTTTCATTTGAACCGTGTCCGCGAGCACGACTTTGATTATAGGTTTGCTGCCTAGGTTTACCAACTCGTTCACGATGGGCCCCCAATTTTTGTTGTGTTCAACGGAGAATTTCACTTTGACCGTCGGTTTCAGGGCCCCGTTCTTTATCAAATTTACGACGTGCTTAAGGTTCCAATTATGAATAGGATTAGGCAAGCTTTGATTCGAAAGTCCTTTCCTGAGTCCTTGTTTGAAGGGGTGGTCTTCTTCTTGCAAGTGCGGCATGATGTTGGAGAGGGTAACTAAGTTACGGTTGCTCGTTAACGAGAAATATATGGCCAACTCTTCACCCATTTTGAAAGTTTTGTGATTGTTTTTGCACGCTATTCTCACCAGATGGCTAATTGTGCTGTCAAGCTGGTAATTCCTAGTGCCTGAATTCGTCATCGTGGCTTTTGGGGTAAAAGTCAACGGCATGCAAGACGCACAAGAATTTTCAGTTACATTCTTCACGCTCACATTCATCAGCGTTTGAAATATCCCAGATCGAGTCATAGATATGTTGAAATCCAGAAACGATGCTGCCACATGCTCCATTAAAGTTACATGGAAGAATATTTTGACATTTTTCATGAATGGGGAGGCAGCGTCGGCCATGATGACTCGGAGGGCCGTGTCGGGATTCAGATGGCAGGTTTCGCAATGGGGCTTGACTTCGTTACATTCCGTGTTTGTGAAGTAAAACTGCGAAGAGAAATTCGGTTAGTTTCGTTAAATCAATATTTTTAATCATTGGGTGATTAAATGTTATTAGATTGCTACAAGGTAGGACAAAATTAAAGTAATCATTTTCTCGTTTTAACTTCAGTTTTATCTGATTTCCTCGCAAATTTCTGCGATACCCTGGATGAAAAGGAGATGGGATTAATAAAAAATAAAAAATTTACATTTCATGAAGTGGGTTTATTTTTCATTACATAATAAAAGGCAATAAAATATTAATTGGAAATTCTTGCAAGAAGCTAATATCAATGTGATCGCTTAGTGGGTGGAGACAAGGTTTACTTTGCCATACCTTCCGGTCCTGGATGCACCGCAAGCTAACTCGGCCGACCTCCATCAAGTACTTCTGAGCTTCGTCCTTTCGTTCCAATAATTTATTTTCGCCTGCTGTGCTGATTGACAAAAGTTGATGCCGCATCAGCGCCATCACCCCATCGAAAACATCGATCACATTTTTGACGGTCCCAAGGATCGCTGGTTGGTGGATCCAAAGCATCAGGTATAGAACAACGTGCAGTGGAACGTTCAATACCGATTTGAGGTCGTCGAAGTTGTCATCGACATTGTCCAGAAGTGCAAATTGTTGCTGATCATTCATGCCGTACATCCTCGAGATGTTGATAACAAGCTTCACGAACTTTTCTTCGTCAAAAAGAGTCAAAAGAAGCTCGATGCTATCATAGCTTAGGTCAAGATTCAAGGCTTCTTCGATGTCTCTGATTCCAGACAATCTGGTTGACACGATCACTCTGGCGTCCCGAAGCTTTTTCCTGATATTTATAAGTAGATTTCTGCAAGATTCTTGGCACTCATCAAACCCATCTAAAATGATTAGGGTCTTGGGATTGTTGAGTAGTTCCAGCAGGTAATCATCATCTTCTGTCTTTGGAAGCTTATTTATGCTATTTTTCAGGTAGATGTTCCGGAGGGATGACATCAATTCCACGCTCACATACCGGCATTCTACCATCAGTAGTACGTCGAAGTCAGCTAGAGTTTGAATTTTTCCTTCGTTTACGCACCATGAATGAATAAGAAACTGGCATAGAGCAGTTTTTCCACCCCCAGGTTGACCCTTGATTACTATCAAAGGGTTTTTGCACGAACGGTTTGGCTGTACGATGAATAGGTCTTCAACTTTAACTACCCTCCGGTTGAAAGTTAGATCAGGTTCGACGTAAATGTCACTTATTCTGATGGGTCGCTCTTCCTTTAACCAATGCAGAGGTAGAGGCACACAAAGGTCCGAATAAAGTCCCTTCAGTTCCGCGCGTGCCGATTTTCTGAAGTCATCTTCTATGATTCTTGCGGTATCCAGCAATGTCGATATTGACGGTACATTGAGTGGGATTTCAGTTTTTTGTTCACATGCGGCGCTTTTCTTCCTCTTCCTGCTCATAGCGTGAACACCTCGCGTGATTTTCGGGGAGAGTTTGAGAAATCCTTCAATCCTACTATTCTTCCTCTTAACCGGCGTCGTTTCCCCATTGAAATCCTGACCTTTGCCTGTTACGAATTGATCGTTGATCGCTATTGAAGGAATGGTGATCTCCGAAACTCTCCGCGTCTTTTGTTGTGTGTCTTTTTGGAGTAACCACAAGCTTTTGGACGGTTTCAATTTCGGTTTGATCAATTGTTCTTCCTTATTAGCAGTAAATTTTTCATTCAAATGTGCTGCCCTAGCAAAATTTGTGGGATTCTTCCTTCTCTGTGACAAATTTGATATATAAGAAGGTTTTAGTGAAGATCTACGCCTTGGGAAAGGGTCAAATTCGATTGAATTAACTTCATAAGCCACTTTCTTTTCAGTTTCGTTTTCATAATGGATTTGTGGACGACTGAACTTGGAATTCTTCTCAAGTTGAAGTCTATGTGGTGAAACATTTGAAGTGTCGGAGTCTTCAGTGCTGGAGTCGAAAAAGACGCCAACATCTGAGGCGCTAGAATTGACAGAGGTGCTGGAGAGATCACAAGCTTCGACATGCAAGCTGTTTGCCGCACAACCAGCCGCTTCAGCACTAAAATATAGCGCGGTGCTGTGAGTAGAGTGCAATAAAGGTTGTATTTCCTCTTCATTATTTTCCGAAGTACATTCTAGCCTTGTTTGGGGGTGGTTTTTAGGAAGTAAGTTTAGATTTTCCATGGGAATACATATGCCGGAAGTACTCGTAGAATCTACGGAAGCCGAGTGTTTCAGTTTTGCATTTCGTGTGACATTCGGTCTGCTGCCTACGCTTAGAGAATGCACTCTTTCCGGCGATGGCAATAAAGAAGGGACATTCAGTAGTGTCTGAAATTCTTCCTCGTTATTATCATCATGCATAATCGTGGTTGGAGTTCGAACACAGATTCCAAGTCTCGTCGTCCGTTCTTGTCGAGTCACTGCGCTTTCATCGGATTCTTTGTCTTCTGCGCTCATTTTATTTTATTAAAAGAATTAAATATAGAAGGAAAGAATTTTGTTGACACACGAAACGAAGGGAGGCTTGCCTCGGCTCCTAATCAGGCTGATCTGTGACCAGATAAGCGTGACATTGACGTTCCTGAAGACCAAATCTTGAGATGTATTTGATCGATGGGGCGCATTCAGTCACTGATTGACCACGCAAGCTGTCACTGATTAAGAACGCTGTCACTGATTAACTACTGCACCGATTGTTCCTTAAGAGCCTCGCCCTGATAAGGCTATAGATAAGGACGTCGCAAGCTTTGACGCCTGGAGAAAACCAAATTGCTCGTCATCGAGAGCCGGACCTTAGAATTTCTAATCTGTTTTTGGTACCGTAAAGTTTTAGATAGTAATTTTTTCCAAAGATAATTGCGTTAGGTGACCGTGTAGTGACGGAACCGTGGACTTCACTTCAGCTTATTCCGCTTCAACCTGCAAACAAAATGAGGTAGTTGATGAGAACTATTTTGTAATAATTGAAGACCATAAATTAATAACAAATATTACCAGCAAGGCAACATTTCATGGATATTATCTCGAAAATCGGAAATTATTTATTCAGATAAAACAAAGCATTAACTATTTCGTTTATTTCATTTCAGTTGATAAAAAAATTGTCACTTACGCCACATTAGTTGTGAAGATGATGCTTCCCATTGGCTGTTAATTGATGCGGTTGACACAGTTGATGTAGAGGCAATTACGTTGCGTTGACACTACTTGTGTTGACACTAATTTTGAAGTGTACACCTTATTTACAATATCACTGGAGAGATGAGTACTGCAAACAAAAATAAATTACTTAAAGCCATCATGACGTATGCTGGTTAAGCGAATGAACGTCGGTTCGTATGACGTCGGACCGTTCAGATGTCGGACAGATAATGAGAGTCAGAACAAATTAAATCATACAAAAGCTCTGAGTTATTCTTATTGTGATATACCTGCACTGCCCTTCACGCTCTTCAGTTCACGATGTATCAAGTACCTGCCCTTCACGCTCTTCAGTTCACGGTGTAGCAGGCACCCGCCCTTCACGCTCTTCAGTTCACGGTGTATCAAGCACCAATGTGTCATTGTGTTGTGTTGCAGCTATCTTATGTGTCATTGTGTTGTGTTGCAGCTATCTTATGTGTCATTGTGTTGTGTTGCAGCTATTGCATGTGTCATTGTGTTGTGTGTTGCAGCTATTGCATGTGTCATTGTGTTGTGTGTTGCAGCTATCGCATGTGTCACTGTGTTGTGTGTTGCAGCTATCGCATGTGTCACTGTGTTGTGTGTTGCAGTTATCGCATGTGTCATTGTGTTGTGTTGCAGCTTTATCATGTGTCATTGTGTTGTGTGTTACAGCTATCACATGTATCATTGTGTTGTGTGTTGCAGCTATCACATTTATCATTGTGTTGTGTGTTGCAGCTATCACATGTATCATTGTGTTGTGTGTTGCAGCTATCACATGTATCATTGTGTTGTGTGTTGCAGCTATCGCATGTGTCATTGTGTTGTGTGTTGCAGCTTTATCATGTGTCATTGTGTTGTGTGTTGCAGCTATTGCATGTGTCATTGTGTTGTGTTGCAGCTATTGCATGTGTCATTGTGTTGTGTGTTGCAGCTATTGCATGTGTCATTGTGTTGTGTTGCAGCTATTGCATGTGTCATTGTGTTGTGTGTTGCAGCTATCGCATGTGTCATTGTGTTGTGTGTTGCAGCTATCGCATGTGTCATTGTGTTGTGTGTTGCAGCTATAGTTCTGTCTCTACGTCTACATTTTATGTGGTTACTGCGATAAAGTTCCAAAGAGTTCTGGGATACTACGTTTTTCTTACTCGTGTAACTCACGTACTTGCTGTCACAAAATGGAACATTTAGTATCATAAAATACGATTATACCGACTTGTATAAATTGATAATATTCTTTAACAAGATACAGTCACCCAAGCCGCTGAGATTGCGTAACACAACATCTTGTCTGCCCAGAATCTGCCCAGAAGATTTGTCTGCCCAGAATCTCTGATCGTTTAAATCTTGTTTATTAACTACATTGGCTTAGCTGTGATCACATCTTAGCCATCATGAATGCGGTCATATAGCAATCGTTTCCAAAATCTTCGTTTTTTCATCAATCGTTCCTAAGGACTAAGTTTTTTCTCATCAATCGTTTTTTTATCACTCGGCAACGTTAACCGTAAATTACAGCTGAATTGATCAGGGGTTGCTTATTAAATCGATTAGAGTAATAAAAAGATGTTGACTTGAACAATATTTATTACAAGAACTTAAAATCGTTCGTGCAGGTACCCTAAACATGCTTAAATATTTCCAAATGCGGCAAATCTTTATTTGCTAACCCACTTTTAAAGCTTATAATCAGTTAACTAACATGTTAAAGTATCATTGAAGGGTTCATTCACTTTAGATTTTAATCATGACGCAGATGCACCGACACCAAGTAACGTATTACAAGTAAAGTAACACCAAGTAAAGCTGTTATTACATGGGAAGTAATCACCCTCGAGGATAACCACATTGCTGGAACACAACGAAGTAACTTCGTCCTAAAATGAACCGAGTATTTTAATGCATACAAAAAGCTTTAGGAAGTTGCCAATATTTGTGGTATCGAGTGTGACGCTGTATTGAACAACACACAAGTTAATCCTATAGGGAACAAGGATTCATACTTGAGCATTTGTCAAGGATTCGTACCTCATTTTTATCGATTTGATATCTATCCCTTTGAATCATATGTTATTTGTCTCAATGTTCGTGTGTTATCATTATTAATTATAATTAATAGTAATTATAATTATAATAACTTGCAGCGAGGTGATCTTAGAATTTGAGATTCAATCATCCGAACCTCAATGGCCAATTATATGGCCCAGTAAACCTTCATCACTACCGATCAACTAACTTTTAATTAGTAAATCAAACATTATAATAATTAAGCCACTGTTGTGCGTGGCATCGATGCCCTCGTTCGGTTATTGAAGTTAATTAACGAGAGTGAAAAGTATTAAAACACTGACATCCTATACCTAACTATACATGTCAACATAAACACCATAGCTTCATGATGTTGAATTACACATACAGGACGATAAAACAGGACGAATTACACATACAGTACATCAGTGTTGAACAACCACCGTTTGATGTTGAAGACAACAAGTTATTTTTAGACCCTAAAATTTAACTAAAAAATTTCCCAAACTCAAAACGTGTTTTTGAAGTCGAGTCCCCGCTTCTCTGATCAAAATAATAATTCATCTATTAAAAAATACAGAGATTGTCAGCGTCTTCATTCTCTCAAGTCTTTAGATTCGAAAAAAATCACGAATCAAGACAAGACTTAACCAGGCTCCCTAGGAAAAGATACACAAGTTACAGTAACATAGAGCAAATAAAGCTATATTGAAAGACATATACATGGATATGCAGATTATACATAGTCTAAATTATAGTGAAATGAACTATTTACAATGGTGCTAATGACATTACACACTACGAACGATCACAACTTTTAAAACAACACGGAAAAACTGTGAGAGTTTCTTTAAAAGTTTTGCTCAGAACGTCTCTTGTTGAACGTTTCTGTGTACAGAATCGTTAGAAGAACTCGAATTGAAATTGCCATTTTTATTGCGTAAATACCTTCTGTTTTGTACATATCAGGGCACCGAGTGGCAAAATGCAACATTTGAACTTTTTGAACAACATTTTGTGGTTCAAAGATTTGAACCACAATTTGTGGCTGGTTAACAGCATTGGCATAGCGATGTTATTGAACTGTTGGTGCAATGAAACTGTTATGTTACTTTACTGATAGTGAAATAGAGCTTCGTAAGAGCTGGGGGTGTTACATTGTATCGCATCATTTCCTTAAGATATTTTACCGGATGAGGGGAAGTGAAAATGGACAAAGTAAGGAGGAAAATAAGATAATGATAAGTTTTGTGGGTAGAAGGAATGATGAATGATGATGCTTGGGAGAGCGGCACGCAGAGGAACGATAGGTATAACACAACGCTGAGGCCGTAACGAAAACGTTATTTCGAGTGACGATACAGGGACGGGAAACACGAAACACAAGCAAGTGACGTTAAGATGATGACCAGCGACGATGACGTTAACGTTGCGACGTCACGCCCCAGGTGACGTTACCGCCATGACGTAACGCCCCAGGTGATGTTACCGCCATGACGTCACGCCCAGGTGACGTTACCGCCATGACGTCACGCCCCAGGTGACGTTACCGCCATGACGTCACGCCCCAGGTGACGTTACCGCCGTGACGTAACGCCCCAGGTGATGTTACCGCCATGACGTCACGCCCAGGTGACGTACAGCCATGACGTCACGCCCCAGGTGACGTTACCGCCGTGACGTCACGCCCCAGGTGACGTTACCGCCGTGACGTCACGCCCCAGGTGACGTTACCGCCATGACATCACGCCCCAGGTGACGTTACCGCCGAGACATCACGCCCCAGGTGACGTTACCGCCATGACGTAACGTCTTAGGTGACGTGGGTACGGAACGTGAAGCACAGAAGACGTTCCCGTGACTGCTTATCGAAGAGGCGCCAGACGAGCGTGTCACGCTTCTGTAACACAGAGATAACGTCACTCAGCAGACGAGCGTGTAGAGTAAAATTTGTTAATGACTAATAACATTGCGATGCTTAACATTTATTGTGGAATCATGATGATGCACAAGCTTCATTCAGAACAATAAATTGGTCATATTGTCTGAACAATGACACTCTTTCTTACCCACAGCACAAGCACAGAAATTGTGTAGTATTGATACGCACTTTACCGAGCAAAACTAAGTAAGGAAGACCCACAGAAAGGCAAAAGTGATATCGATATTTGGACAAACTTTCGCCCATTAATTGTCTGAACGTTTCTTTATACCTAAACATAAATTGAAGGCCATTTCCTAGCAAGAAATTTTTGCATTCGCAATCGTGCGGCTTGAATTTGCAATGTAAATGTGATCATAGCGATGAATCCATCCTTTATTCATCCTTCAATCATTTCGTTCAGTGTGACTATCATGTCCATAGGCCTGGAAGGTTCATAAGCCTGCCTAGCCTGATTAGGATCCTCGAGGCTTTTAGGCAGTTCTTGCTCTCGTTTAAGAGGCACATTTTACAGTCGAGGCCTATAACGCGAATGATACGGCACGGATACATATGAGTCATATGTATCCGTGCCGTATCATTCGCGCTAATCATACACTACCCAGCTAAATGCTAGTCATATGATATGACTAGCATTTAGCTGGGTAGTGTATTCGTAGATATGTGATAAGAAAAGACATTAGAGTCGTAATTTTGTTATCCACATCACTCACCTGGGACCTTTGAACATCTGCCATCCACTTCGTCAATATCATGGAGATCTTTGTACATTTGCCACCTCACACAAAGAATCACATCTGGCACCCACCAAGCTCAAGCCGTCGTAATCCTTGTACATAAACACTATCCAAAAAGACTCACACATTCAAGCACCAACTCACTCACGACGTGGCAAGCCTCGTACATCTGCCACTAAACAAAAAGAATCCCACATCTGGCATTATATAGCCAATGAGGTAGGAAACCTCGTTCATTTGCCACCTCATCGAAAAGAATCACTCGTACATCTGGCACTCACCTAGCCAAGGAGGTAAGAATCCTTGCACATCTACCACCCGCATAAAAAGAATCGTACATCTGGCACCCACCCCTGTCCACAATGCTGTAATCCTTGCACATCTGCCACCTGTATTAAAACAATCGTACATCTGGCACCCACCCCTGTCCACAATGCTGTAATCCTTGCACATCTGCCACCCACATAAAAATAATCGTACGTCTGGCACCCAACCCTGTCCTCAACGCAGTAATCCTTACACATTTGCCACTCTGTAGAAATAATCACACATCTATCACCCACCTCGCCCACGACGTCAGGGATGTTGAGCCTGTAATCGAGGGTAGTCTTGGTGCCGGCGTGGAGGGGGCAAGTCATGTGGTCGCACGCGTTCGCGTCCTGCCCCAACAAGGGCATCTCCAGCCACGTGCGCCACGACAGCAGCGACACCACCGCGTGGTTTATCGTCGTCACGGGAGTGAACGTGACCACGAGCGTGTGGGAGCGCCCACGGGCCAGGCTGCACACGTCGCGTACCCGTGACGTGCAGTTCACGTACAGGGACGTGGGAGCGGGTCCACCTGCACGGGCGGGGCACACGCGGTATTGTCACGGGTATAATTTGTCGCGGGTATCATTCAGATTAATTTAATTTGAATTATTCTCACTCCCGATTCATTATCCCTGAAGTCATTATCCCTCTGGTTACATTTACTCGAAATCATTACAATCCAGCCTGCCAAAAACCGTATCAGTGTTACTTCCGCTCTCTGCTAGTGTTGAGGGTAAGAAGTAAATCACCATTTAGACAACATGAGCCATATATTATTTTGGTGTAACACGAGTCGTGGCAAGACAATTACCAACATTATAGATTAAATTTGAACATAAAGATTTATTGTATCACCCAATATGTTATACCTTTTAAAATAATATCTATTGACCAAATTACAGGGGGCTAGGTATAATTAGTAAATTACAGGTTAACTTTATTATTATAATAACAAAAATTACTCAAATTTGTAGTTTGATTTCTAAATTTTCATGCCCAAAGATTTATCCAAATTCCGAAGCATTACTCACCTCCCGGACACGGTCTGAAGGACACCGGCTGCAGTTCACCGAGCGCCTCCTTCTCATCGACAGTTGCTTGCCCTTTCCTGTTATCCCTGTTGCCTTTTACAGCTGTCCCTTCACTGTTGCCACCGTCTTCAACTTTTGCAGTGTCTGCCTCAATGACGTCATGACCACTTGGCAAGTCTCCTGACCCAGTGTTTTCGGAACCTTCAGCTACGGAACCACCCGAACCGGGACCGTAAAAACCGGCACCACTTGAACCGCGACGGCCAAAACCGGGACCGCTGGTACCGCGTTCCCCAACACCGAAGTCTACCGGCCCCACGGTGTGGTCGACGTACTGGGCAGCTACGTCCCCGAACAAAGACGTCCCCGTCTCTTCATCCTCAAGTTTATCCCCGTCCCCGATTTCACCCGCGCCGAAGATGATGTTTTGTAAAGCTTCGTCCCGGTCAACGGCCTGGACGAAATCGTGCACTGGTCCCCCGTCCTGAGGAGCGATCAGCTGATGCAGGTCGACGGGTTCGAGACGGGTCAGGGACGTCGCTATCAGCACCCGCGATAACAACACCAATGTAAACAACCCGCCAACCTCCATAATGAGAATCCTAGACGTGACACTTAACAAACTATTGTTTATTTATCCAAATTCAAAATAATATATATGGTCTGAAAATGTTGAAAGTGAGAAAATTACAATTAGTGTAAAATTACAATACCAATGGAAACGACCCGCCAACGTCAATTGCTCAACAATGGACGAGAAATTTTATTCGTAATATTGAAGGAACTATTATGTTGTTCAAACTTATGGTCCGGAAATCTGTGCATTGAAAAAAATACGAGTACAACAATACTAATTAGAAGACATAAGAAAATATTCGTCCGATGTTTCAGATATGCCAGCGTTATCTGTGCCGTCGTGCATTAACTGCCACCCTCACTCTTGTCTGTGAGTAATATTACCCTGTTACAATGTTTAACTCTGACAATGTTGAACTTGGACAGTTTAAACAGTACAGTGTTTCATTTAAATGTATTGAACTTATACGATATTGGTGAATATTAACATATTGTGCCGTTCAGTATTATGCGAATTCAACACTGTCCCACTTAATTAACCATGGTATGACTTTAGCATTTCAATAGTTTACACTCATGAACCTAACATATTGAACTCGTACCATGCTGAACACGCTTAATGTAGAACGTCTACAATACCGTGAACACGAATGGGCTGCGTGACCGCATGATTTGAGATGACAAAAGCAGCGCAATTTATCTCAATTTGATGTAAGGAGTTAGCGGGACCCAAGCTTTGGGACGCCAATTTATAAATTATTGGCAGAAAAGGGAGGCAAATGGCTCATTGAAGTACGGTTGTCTGCGCTGACTGCTGGCATACACATACACTTTTAACGAATAAGCATTTTTATCGGACATGCACCATTTTGAGAGACACGCACTTCCAACTCAAAATAATTTGTAACAAACACATCATTTTGAGAGATAGACACTTGCAGCTAACACGTATTTTTAACGGACACATAATTTTTACAGACACACATTGTTATTGGACACACTTTTGACGGGCACGCACTCATATTGAACACTTTTGACACCAAAACCCTTTTGACGAACACTAACACTTTCAACGAACATCAAAATCTTTTACAGACACACTTCTACGGAACGCACATCTGAAAACCCACGTTTTTAACTTGAGTGCACTTCGAACTGAGACTTTTTTTAAAAAGTGACGCAGAATTTGATGAGAGTGTAAGGTACAGACCAAAACTTTCCACACAACAAAACTTTTGACGGAGTTAGAATTCGTCTGTATTTCACGTATTAGACGACGGAATTTGTTTATTTATACACGTACGATTAATTACCAGAGAATTCGTTGATTTAGTATGATTTAGTATAAAGCATACAGGTATACTCATGGCTTATACAAGGTCTCAGAAGGATTACTAGAATTTGAAACAAGAACCAACACCAGGGGCCACGGCTATGAACTAAAAAAACAGCGTTGGAACACATCCATGCGACAACATTTCTTCTCGCTTCGAGTCACCGACATGTGGAACAGCCTCCCTGATAGCATCGTTGACGCTCCGAGTATGAACGCCTTCAAGAACAGACTAGACGAAGCTATGCAGGAGCATATGTTCAGTCTTAAAATGCCTAGCAAATTACGGACCAGGCAATAAGTCCAGCAGCTATCTCAATCAATCGTCAGTTATGGGAAGGTCGGGTTACAAAGGCCGGATCCCTTGTGAATCAAGTCACGACAAATTCAGGAATCGGCGACAGGAGATATGGGCCTATTTCTTCAGTGCCGACATTTCTATTCTATTCTATTTAAATTGTCAGAGAGTGGAACAATTCTTGAGATGACGTTTGTAGATCGAAGAGCAGGTTTAATGAAGTAATTTTGATTTATTTGCGACGTTTCGAATGATCACTCATTTTCAAGTTATAATAAGCATTGAATAATGAATTTCGGCTAAAATAAGTACACAGTACACGTAAATGTGATCAAACACGAACATTTCTAACACTTGACATTTACGCTTTTACGCAGGATACTTGGAACGCACAACAGGCGTCAAAGAACAGACGTTCATTATTGAACGAAAGCAGTTGCCGTTCTGAGCGCGCGAAGTGAAATGTTAATGAGGTACACTAAGGTAGAAGCTGTCGGCAAACTCTGTCCAAAACTGAAACGTTGCATCGCATTGCCATTCTCCGGCCAACTATGAACCGCCTAAAATGTCTACAGCAGGAAAATGGGAACGTTATTTTTGCGTGTGACACAACATAGGTCAAAGCATCTCCTACGGCGAGTGAATGGCTGTTACAGTTCAATAGACAGAGTTGCCCGTAATAATAGCATGTGCGTAGCGTTGTGAAAACGTTAACATTCAACATCGTTGAAACATTTCTTCAAATCTGACAGATAGGTGCCCATAGGAATAGCATATGTAAAATTCAGTAATTCAGTAAACATTCAGAAGATCAGTAAACAAAATTCAGTAAACATTCTCAAATAAGTTATAAGCGCAAGAAAAGTTGAAACCGTCGTAGAACCTAATCTCGCACACGATATTCCCTTATAATGTATTTAAGTAAACAGTCAGCGAAGTCATCCAGGGCTACTTGCAATTGTATCTTGGTAGCGTTGAAAGAATAGGTAATATTGTCTTTTGTCTGTTCGATGTTAATTAGTTCTCCTTGTCGCTACAGTTGGACAACAATGAACAGTCGAATAATTAAGCCCTCTGTGATGATTAGGAGGCGGAGGCATTCATAACAAATGTTGGAATAGAAATATATTGCCTCGGCTAATACAATAGACGATTGAATAGAATAATGAATAAAGAAATAAAGTCATGAATAAGGAACAAAGAAATCAATAAAGGAACGCAGGAATAAAAAAACTAATACAGGCATCAAACAATTAATCAAGGAAACAATAAATGAATTCAGGAATATAGCAACGAAGGACATTCCTTTCCAGTTAGATTACTCGGCGATCAATTAGTGAAGTTGTTTCCTTAGGTGAGAAAAATGTTCATTGCAATCCCAGTGCCAAGTTCTGGAGACCTCAACGCCAACAGAACAGCTATCCTGCTATGTTTGAGCCTAGATATGCAAATCAACTTAAACATCACAGCATAAAAATTATAAGACGTTCCCATTGACGTACATTGACGTCCCCTACATTGTACACAGTAAAATGTATAAGACACACCGTCACACGTCCCCCTACAATGTATAAGACCGTTAAGACGTCCCCCTACATTGTACATTGACGTTCCCCTACTACGTCTTTAATGACGAAAAAATCATTATTCAATAATTAAATTGAATCTGAGTGTAAAAACGACCAATCTTGCCTTTGCATCTGGAAAATTACTCCATCCACAATGCCTTCAGTTTGGTGTACGAATTCAACAATTTTACGAAGTTCTATAACTATGCTACATACACACAAACTATTCTACCTGAAAGGCTCTTGTATGGTTAGCTTGTCCAAACAAAGAAATAACTAATTTAGAGCAAGAAAAAAAAACAAATAGCGACCAACCTATTCCTTACAACTGCTCAGCGTTAACTGACGCGCTTCCAGTACACAAAGGCTGGAGATTGACAGGTATGGAAACGGAGGACACTGACATACACACCCACACCTTACGACGGCTCGGCGGCCACTGATGCGGCGACCCTGCGGCCTGCAGGACCCTGCTTCTCTTTGTACAAAGAAATTGTGCAGACGCTTGGAAATATGGCGAGTTTTTGCCGCTGTAGAGACCCACAGTGGGAGCTTTTAATATTATATGAATAGATGTTTTTTTATTTGAAGTTAATTTCCTCGAAAGATAAGCAACAAGTCATGACGTTCTACGTCAAGACTTTAAGCCACTATTTTCCCATGCTATCTTAACGATCACCCAACTGACTATTAAAATTATGTTTAAATTTCGAGAGTTGCATTTATGCGTGAAGTGGTCATGGGTCATGACCTTGAGATGAGAGGGCCCATGACCTTGATGCAGTGAGAGGTCATCCTTGCATGAGTAACGAAAAGAGAATCTCTCACGTACAGTGTTTCTTAATTAATATTTCGTAATTCACGGCAAAAAAAAGAATATTTCGCATGAGTGGTGTTGACACGAAGCATGACTTTCGTTGAGTTCACGACGAATGTTGATTTCAAAAGTTACGATGGCCGTTGACTTCAGCCGTTACGACGGCAGTTGACTGCAGCCGTTACGACGGCCGATGACTTCAGCCGTTACGACGGCCGATGACTTCAGCCGTTACGACGGCCGATGACTTCAGCCGTTACGACGGCTCATGACTTCAGCCGTTACGACGGCCGATGACTTCAGCCGTTACGACGGCCGATGACTTCAGCCGTTATGACGGCCGATGACTTCAGCCGTTACGACGGGCGTTACTTTTACATCATTCGAGGAAGTTGTTAGCGGCAGAAGGAAGTGACGTCATTGGCTGCATGGAAGTAGCGATGAAAGGTCGTACGGAGAGCGCGGGCGCTCGGGTACTTATAAAAACTCATCCAAAATACAATAAAATTTGCCTTTTTTCCGTGATATCAAATTTGATTACGAGTACGTAGCTTCGTCAGCTAATAAATGACGACCTTTCCAGCGATACCCACTAATCGCGGATGGGTAATTGCCCGCTACGTGTATTTAGGCCGCTACGTGTAAATAGGCCGCTACGTGTACTGAGGCCGCTACGTGTACATAGGCCGCTACGTGTACTTAGGCCGCTACGTGTACATAGGCCGCTACGTGGACTTAGGCCGCTACGTATATTTAGGCCGCTACGTGTACCTAAGCCGCTACGTGCACTTAGGCCGCTACATGCGCTTAGGCCACTACATGTATTTGGGCCGCTACGTGTACTTAGGCCACTACGTGTACTTAGGCCGCTACGTGTACTTAGGTCACTACGTGTACTTAGACCGCTACGTGGACTTAAGCTGCTACGTATATTTAGGCTGCTACGTGTACCTAAGCCGCTACGTGCACTTAGGCCGCTACATGCGCTTAGGCCACTACGCGTACTTAGGCCGCTACATGTACTTGGGCCACTACGTGTACTTAGGCCGCTACGTGAACTTTAACCACCACGTATACTACGGC